TGGTTTTTGTTTATACTATGGAGGTCTTGGTATACCGTCGTTTAGTTGACCGTTAAAGGTGTAAGAATTTGGATTGGGTCGCTGAGATTTTACCGGAAACATCTTGGCACCGTAAAAAGTTGTAGGTCGTGTAGTTAATCACTTACTTATTTCGCGTAGGGATTATATTCCTTATTTCATACCAAATGCGGTTGAATGTGTTTAAAAAGAGAACCCCGCTGACTGCGACCAGCAGAATGGTCTGTTCTATAGATAAAACGATGGATAATTACCAGCACAAAAATTTCACGTCAGCTATGACACTTCGCCTTCTAACCTGCACGACCCCACTAATTGTTTCATAAGTCGTCGAGTTTGTGATGATTCCTTGTTCTCAGAACCCATGAGGTTAGTAATTGTTGTTGTCTCTCCAAATCAAAGAGCGACATACACTGAATTACGGCTGCCTCAAGTATATGGTGCAGGGCGATTTTATTCTGAAATTTTGTAACATTTCAGTCATAAGTGCACCTATGACTTGTGAGTATTTGGTTCGTTGACAGCGGAGTAACTTTTCTAAAACAGGGGTTTTATTTAAATAAACCAGATTCTTAGGTTTCCTGTTCTGTATCCTGGGAGTCTGAAATCATATGCAGCATTGATAGCAGTGAGTATCGGTTCAAACATTTGTGGCAAATCAACGGAAGTTTTCATGGATAAATTTTAGATGTTTGTATTATCATTTAAGGAATTAATTGTATATGAATGTAAATATTGACGATTATGAAGATAAAAATATGTATAAACAATGTGACAATTTTATAATCAGACAAACAGACTTAATTATGCGCTAGCTCAAGAACTAATTGTAGCGAATTCTAAATGCTAGTACCAAAATAATGATAAATGTTTCGCTAGAAATTGTAGAAATAACCAATAATATCAAAATATAAAAATACACAGGCGAAATTCTGAACATTGCTTTGATCGTTCGGAGCAGCGTATTCGGTTTTTTGGGTCATGAAGTCTATAATTATAATAGGTAACTATTATTTTTATATACGGGTTATAATCCGAAGCGACATATATCTGAGGTAATTCAGTAATATAGACACAAATAAAATTTGTACATGTGTATAGCGATTATTTTATTAATGTCTGAATGAGAGCTGAATAAGCACAAAATATATGGATGTCAGTGTATATGTGTTCGACAATCAGTATGTCATGCGACAGAGGGAAACACTTAACTTAAAAATTACTGTTTAACTAAGAAAAAAACTTTATGTTCTATGAAGATGAATATATAAATTACGTGGAATTCTGGAAAATATGAGCCTCTGTTTATGTATTTGTGAAATAATTATGCTAGCCATCTCTACAGACCACTTAGATTCTGATTATTTATCGCCTAACTACGGAAATACTTTGGAGCATGAAGTAAAAGCTATGATTAGAGACAGAAAGAAATTACTGACTATTTTATCTACTGTATGTCAAAGACTCACTTCATCGATACATTGGCAAAAGATAACATTATTGAGACTTGTACCAATCCATTTCGATCGTTTTCTTTTTTAGATTTTAAGTAATTGATAAGTGGAGCTTTTTGTTAGTTTTGTGGTGACATTTCGTTTGTGCTCCAAAGTTTCCCACGTTTCCAAAGTATATATACGGAAAGCTTTACAGCTGTACGGTAGAACAGAGTTCGAGCCGATATTCTTGAAGTATAAGCCGAGTAGCAAAATGACGAATGATCACATAATTGAGGATATTTAACATATGCGCCCGATGACTAGCCGATCTAAAAGACAACAAAGGTAAAAACATATGTGGTCGGGATTTTTCAAACATCAATGTGATAATCGAAAACGGTAAAACAAAACCGAGAAAATTTGACTACATTGACTCTTTTTACAGTCAACTGCACTGGAAAATACATAAGATAGTTTTTGTTGCGACTATTTATCATTTTGTGTGAACTTAAGTGGCTTGAAGTAAAACAACCTAACCTTCACCAGGGAATCATAAGGCTGTTACTAACATTTAACAACATGACAACCTACCAACATACAACAGATCAAAAGCCAACTTTCAAGACAACTGATCGAAATAAATATGAATACGAAGACTCAGAAAATCGACGCAGGTAGCCGGTATTAAGTAAAGTGTAACCCAGCTCGACAAAACAATACAGACACTATGAACGTGGAACAGATAATCAAATTTGATCAAATCATAATATCAACAACTCAGTCTTCAGTAATAAGGATAGTAGGTTGGTGAACCTGTGTTAATCCTGACAGATTGCCTTCCAGTGAAGGTCCAGTTTCTCCTTACAAATATTCACTGATGGGTCTGATACCACTTGTTTGGGTGAGGCGTTCCAGTCATTAACCACTCGACCCCGGCCGTTGCGCCCGATGGTGGGCTCCAACCCCGACCCCCAGATTAAAAGTCTGATGCTCTACCGACTGAGCTAACCGGGCTCAACTGCAGTAGAGACAATATGTCGATGAAAAAGCTTAACAAATGAGATACGTCTTTTATATGACTCGTAAAGATAGGGAAAACTATAAATTCTGCAATAAGCAGATGATTCTGAGCAGTTGCTAGAACGGTTGTAACACCTACAAATAACAGCCGAGCAAAATTGAAGACGAAATTTTTTAAAATTTTTTAATAAGATGAAAGTTACTGCATTTTGGGTTTTTGTTTTACTTGACAGTATTTCAGTATGGCATTTAAAAGTCGAGGTCATATGTGGGTTGTAAGTCTTCGTCCCTAAATTGAGTGTATGTGTTAAAAAAACTAAGTAATTGTTGGTAAGGATTGATGTTAGGTGTTTTTTAAGATGGTTACTCGGTTTTTGAGGTCAGGAACATCACCGGTGATAACAAAATCCAACTCAGTTATGGTTTTCAGGATAGAGTTATTAATTTCAGTTAGTGGTTTAGATGGAAAGTCAGTTAGATATTTTGCAAAAACTGACATCACTTGTAATGCATGAATAATCTGTATTCTTCTTTATATGTTTGTGATGAGCTGTTATAAATCAAGTGAATTTGTATATGAAGGCAACCCAATCTCCTAATTCTGGGTCAGATGGTGTAGAAAATTTTTGGGAAATGGCACGAAAACTCAAGATTTCGCACGAACTTGGGAAATTCCATGAAACGGGATTTTTCCAACAGAAAGATTGGGAAAATTTGGAAATGAATGAACAAGTAAATACATGGGAATAATTACATAGTGATAGTATAAAAAGGCAGGTAGGTGTAAATAACGTACATAAGTCTTAATTGAAAAAACATCACAACAGTAGTTTTCCGGGAATTTATGTGGGTGAGACGAATGAGTGCGAAGCAGTTTTCTTATTTTAATGTACGTTTTCAACTCCTATAACAAGCTTAAGAGGATGGTATATGGTTACATACGAGATTGTCCGGTCTCTTCTTGCATATCTACTAAGGTAGCTGTGGTCACATCGTTTGAGAGAGCATCCTAGATAGATATTTTTGATAAAGTAAGTTCGTTCTTCGATAGAAAACTTTGCTGATGTTATCCAAGACAGCGATGTAATTCAACGTGGACTACTTTACTATGGTGTCTCGAACCACTAGATGTTACACACGACTATTAAGTTGCCTCTTACTCTTCTATGCTCCATTGAGAATAGTTTCAGGTGATTATTCCTTTTCTAATAAAGTTAGTCCTCTAAACCTGTAACTCACGTCTAGCGCTCTTAAAAAGTTATGTCGGTGATTTGAGATTCTGACTAGTGTCATGTTCTTTTATTTATCAACGTGACGAGCATATACGTTCTCTTCGTTCTGATCTCTCGCCACTCTGAGCATCCTATACCCGAACACCATCTATATTGTCAATCGGTGTTAAGTCTTCCACAAAATATGTATGACCCCGGCCTTCCAGTGTTTCCAGTGACAAACTGGTTTCATCATATAGTATTAAAATATTCTTTGTCTTGGAATCTGTTTACATGGTTAAATTAAGGCGCAACTGACATATCGTTTATGAGAAAATGCGTTGATTATCTTTTTTGTCTATACAAAACCGTTGAAAAATATCCGAATCCTTTGGATATTTCTTTGTTCTCTTTTATTTAAACGTGCAATACTGGTAAATTCAGTTATCGAGCGTTAGGCTGGCCCCAACAAGTATTTTTCTAGTGAAAATGGGACTGTGTGTGTAGTGGTAGGTTGAGTTATTCAGTCGTTGCTCATGGAGTGACAAGCATTACTAACTTTTTTAGATCATGCATTTTATGTCCAAAATATGACCTTATCATTACTAATAACACCAATATTTCAACCCCTTTACTATTAGCCGTGGTAATTCACCTCACATTAATGTGATGCAATAGCCTAGATTAATGTCCGCTACAACGTAGGACCAGGCACATATATGCATCGGTCTATGTTGCCATACATCATTAGCACAGCGACATGAATACCGGATTCATAGTAGTTAATTCAGTGGTGGTAATATATAGTAGAAAGATTGCATAGCACAGGAAAAAAGAATTAGTTAATGTACCTTTGTGTCAGGCTGTAAGTTGATCAAAATGGATTTAGTGCTTCTTCGTCTCATACTAACTTTCCTTTCTTCACTTCGTTTTTGCTTTCAATTCTGGGACCTCATCGGTACGTAAATCTCAATTTTCTGAAAAGCTTCTCTAATGTTGGTATTACCGCTTCATCATTCTATTGCAACAGATACAGGGTGTTCCATGAACATATACATAACATCCTTCCATGCATCCAGCGTCTTCCATGAAGAAATTGCTCCCAACATACTTTTCACCGGATAACATTGTAACGTTTCGGATTGTCGTGACTCAGTTAACGTAAATATACTACGCTTTTTTCGCCAGATTTACAATTTTTTTGTTTACCCATTTTTCTGTCTCGATTTAGATGAACAATTTCGTTGGACATACGATCTGAAAAAGCTAGTTCGATTTCCTCTAAAACCAATTATTCATCCCAATAAGATTTGTTATGCCAAAAATTGAGTATATTGGTCGTCCATCTTTACACTTCTACGGCAAGCTCCTATCAGAAATAGCCAAAAACCTTAAAAACCGCGCCAAGGGTAGAGTAGTAATAAAGGAAACTGAAACAGCAGAATTCAAGGAGCCATGCTATTACATTTTAAAAAATGTTGTTCCACTTATGTCTGATAAAGTTAGTCATATTTTCAATAATATGCTTCTGTCTATGCGAATTGCATATTTCAGTTCTTCAAATCTTAGACCTTTGGTAAATTTAATCCAGTCGTTTACATTTTTACAGGTTTGTAATGTAACTAACGTAAATCTAACCAACTGTCAAGTAATAATCTTCATCAGTCAGTCAGTCAGTAACAACGTAGAACTTCGTACGTACGTACATCAGTTCGAGTTGCCACACCACATTAGCATAGAGATGCAGTGGTCGATTCAAATCCCGTAGTGGTAGAGGTAATAAGAGTATAAGCAGTAATCGGGAAGATTAGTGTTTGGAGATGTTACTTAAAGAGTATAATACAGTGAAATGAATTTGAGAGGAGAAAAAAAGAGACAAGGAGGAATAAGTAGATCAAAATTTGGGAGAACACAAAGTGTGTATGCACCTGCGCCATTGCAAACGATTTTGAGCCATGTTATTCAGGGTCTCTAACCATCGGTTGCTATCATCTCGCGGTCCCCAACCATGTAGCCTACACCTACCGACATGACTCAGACCACTTGTTAGTGACTTCATGGATTTGTGCCATGTTTTGGTCTGGCCGCCCCTAGCTTTCTTCCAACCTACTCCTATACCACTGAATATCGCACGTCGAGGCAGTCGGTCGGTGGGCATACGTAACACGTGGCCCAGCCATCTCAACTAATGAAGTTCCACTACTTCGTCGATTTATTTGCCATCCTTACCTAGTACCCGTTTCCTGACAACTGCATTACTTACTCGATGGTCCCATGATATACGAGCAATGTTTCGAAGACACCTATGATCAAATACTAGTAACCTACGAATATCCTCTACTCTTATCGGCCATGTTTCACTGCCATAAAGTAGGACGGAACGAACTGCTGCGCAGTAAACCCGTCCTTTGGTTGATAGACGGATATCTCGCCTACGCCATAAATGACGCAAGTTGGTAAAAGCTAGTCGAGCCTTCTGTATCCGTTCTGAGATTTCGTCACACACCAGACCACAAGGACTGATGAGACTTCCAAGATAAGTGAAGCGATCGACACGCTCAATTACTTCACTCCTTATCATTAGTTCAGGTGTCAATGCAACCCAATCCTGAAGCAACATTTTGCATTTCGAGTGGGAGAATCGCATCCCGAACATGCTTGCATTGTTGCTTAGAGTAGTCAGAAGACTCTGCATTTTGTCAGCGTCTTCGCCAAATAAAACTATGTCATCTGCATATTCTAAGTCAACAAGTGAACCTCTCAGTAGAAGTTCAACCCCTGTAAATTTAGATGAGGAAAGTGTTATCTCTAAAAGTACGTCAATGACAAAGTTGAACAAGAATGGAGATTGATGAATCTTCATCAATAGTGATATACATATATTAATATCACCTACTTGTTTCTTTTCTTTATTTAAACACAAATATTGGTACAAGGAGGTACCAGATACATATGCGCTACATAAATCTCAATTGATTTGTGTGAGGGCTGTGATACTGCTCGGGTGCCCAGACCGAAACAGGTGGTTTTCTTAGGGAGCCACACCCGGAGCCATCGACCTGAAGGTCTGATCCACAAGGCAGTGGAGCATCGTAAGGAGATGCAGTCCCATGGTACCCGGTGACCAACGATCGGTTCATACGCCATTTATTCCCTCAGGGTACTGGAGCCCATGTGCACTATTGGTTTGGAATCAGGGTTTTTCAACTCCCCTAGGTGGACTCTCCATGTCCACCAACCCGGTTAAAGCGCCGGACATTCGTTTTTCGTCCCCTCAATTTCGTAAGCAACTAAAGCTTCAGTAAACTACTTAATAGTATTGAAGTCTCAAAATTTGAAAGTGAATATATGGCGTTCCAAAGAACGGTTCTGTTTTTTTTTTTTTGGTCATTAATGTTTGTTTATACATAGAAGAACGAACAGTTTAAATCGAAGAACCTCTTTATTTTCGAGTACTTTCTTCATCAAAGCAGAGCTTGTTATGTTTCGTTTTTTAAAAAAAAACTTTTCAGGGCTGGATGAGTCAACTTTTGTCGAAGCATTGCATGAACGCCTTCATATTCTATTAGATCTTATTCGAATTAATTTTACTTAAGACGGGAAAATCAAGTCCATCACTGATTGTCTCCTATATTAGAGGACACTGACCAACAGAGCGATGAAACAACACACTTTGGAATGGGTGTGCTTTCCTTTGATTCCTACACTAGTCGTAGTCAGATGGTTTATATCAACTCAAAATTCTCACCTTTACTTGATAGCAAAAGTTCAGTCAGAATACAAATTCAGTCTCTGTAGGACTCAGAACACGAATATGGTGATTTATGGAGTTCTCAGTCAACTTTTGTAAAACTGATTTTTGTCTGTGTTCAGTATAGTTATGGGAAATTAATTAGTCACATTAACTACTCCATCCCTCCGGAACTTTACACTTATCTGCTTAATTACATCATTTATGTGCTCTAGGAACGAGTATTTGTATTAGTTTCGACATACTTATCTGTCAACTAGGTATTCAATATAGAGTGTAAATGTAAGCCTAGATCTTTTAAACTTCATCTAAATAGTCATTTTGGCGATTACCTAGTCTATCATGTTAATTTCATTGAACTTGATGAGATATTTCACATCACAGTTGAGTGATTAATGTTGTTATAATTGGTGTAGATGAAGCCTAATTTGGTCTACTACATGTATTTCTACTGAAACGTTTTACTTATCACCTTTTGAAAAATAATTTACTGCTTCAAGTAACTCAAATATGCTCATGCTAAATAATCTGATCGAATGTGTTTACGTTTACGAGTTTATTTTTGCTGCTGAATTTCCTATTTTATCATCAATTATCTGGGTTCATTTTTATAAAGTCTGATGTTAGATGTAGAGCATGGGGTATACGGGTATTCCGTGGCCGAAATCTTGGCTATTGTCTCCTACCGAATACACATGAACCAGATTGGCGTCTTCTATCACCTAGTGAAGCTGAACGTCTAACGTCAATGTCAACAAAAACTGATTTGGTCGCTCCGGATGTTCTAGTTAGCTGCGTTGCTCAAGCTCCCCCTTTATTGACAATATTTTTACGAAGAAAAAATGTACTTCCACCACAAGTAGTGGAAGAAGCTGAAAAATCTACTCACTCTTTAGATATACAACAATCAATGAGAGAAGCTAGTGGTTTATTATTGTTAACACCTCACCGCTATGATCCGACAAGTTTCAAAGTAAGTATTGTTTCGGTTTTTAAACAAAATTTATAAATTCGTTCACTACTTCCTACCAGTTGTTTTGTTTTTTTCTCTCTCGGTGTCTCACCAACTATGAGTGAATGAGTGAGCCAATCGCAACGTAGAACCTGGTATGTGTGTACATACTCCATTAGCACAGAGAGATGAAATTGTCAGGCCGAATTCCAGAGTAGTTGAGGTGATAATAGTATGAGTGGTGACAGAAATGACTGGACATCGAAGATAAGATTTAAGAAAATGTAAACTAACGAAATGAAAACAAAAAAGTTCTTAGGAATTCAGAAGCTCAGGATTTGGGGGAAAACAAAGAACGTATTTACCTAGGTTTGATTTGATAATTTCGAATAAATTGAGCATTGGGTTGATTGTTATAAATAAAAATAATATATTTGTAATATCCCAATGAGTAGAAAATTGGATTTTCTGACGTTTCGTGGCTTAGTGTAAGTCACTTCTTCAGAGAATAAATAACCAAATTAAAATTAATCCAAGTTTAAATAGTACAACGGAACAATGCAAGAATAATATTGGATCAATCAAAAAACAGGTCTGAACAAGTTGATGTCATGTCATTTCTGTCAAGGTGATTCATAAGTGATATGTATGTAAATTTGTGTGTGTATGTATATGTACATTGTTTAAGAATGAAAACTTATGTGACCTTTATGGTAAGAAAGGATAGAGTTTAAATTTGTAATATGAAAGTGTGAAATTGTAAATACGATCAGACTGAATGGTTAGGATAGATGGTCCAAGTAGGGTGTATGGTAAGGCCTTCTTTTCTATTGAGAGAAGTAGGATTAAGCATTATGTGGAACGCCTCAGCTACCCTCCTTTCTTTGTAGTTGGAAAAGCCTTTTTGCAATATTTTGATATTTTTAAAATCGATTTGGTGGTTGTTGAAAATGGCATGAACTGCTATTGCCGATTTAATTTGAAGTTGGTTCAATTCTACCGGATTGTTAGGAGGTTTCTTTGTGTACCTAATATGTTCTTTGGCTCTAGTCACAATTTCGCGGGATGACTCTCCAATATAATAGGCATCACAATTGATACAACCTAATTTGTAAACGCAGTTCTGTGTGGACATGAAAGGGATTTTTTCTTTCAGGCGAACTAAAGTATTACGTAGTGTGTTCGTTGTTTTGTAATACACTTTAATTCTGTGGTGTTTTAAGATTCTTTGAATTTCTTCTGTTGTGCCATGACGGTATGGTAGAACTACAGTACCAATCCATGGCATTTCATTCGAAACATTATTATAATGTAATAAATTGTTTTGTTTTAATATGCTTCTAATAATCTTCATAGGAAAATTATTAAATTGTAAGGTACTAATTATATTCATTTGTTCTTTTCGTTTGTCTTCCTCTGATGTGATGATCTTGTTAGCTCTTCTAAAAAGATTTAAGGCTAGCGAGATCTTAGCACTGAAAGGATGTGCTGAATGGAAGTCAATATAACGATTTGAATGCGTCGGCTTTCGGTAAATGGATAAGTTTAGACTTCCATTTGGATTTCTTTTTACTAAGCAATCCAAGAATGGTAGCTCACCATGAGCATTTTCATTTTCATTGGTGAATTTGATTTGCGATGAGAGTGTATTAATTCGTTTTGAAAAAGATCTTAGATGAGTCTTTTTTATAACCACAAATGTATCGTCTACATATCTAAGCCAAATTCGTGTCCCCGTGTCCCCGATTGTAGCCAACCTTTTTATGGCATACATAGAATCAAATATTTTCGCCCACAACATTATACCACGAATTTGGCTTAGATATGTAATAAGTTTATTCTCATGAACTTCAAAAAAGTATAGTTTATTTCCTGTTCTTCAAATTTTGGCATTTCTTAGTCATACGACTGTGCTTTCTCAGCGCAAGAAAAACAACATAAACGTCGGATGAGATTTCATCAAGAAACAAAAGCTTTCTGGGTGCAAAACCATGTTGTAAACGTACATTTTTCCTGAATTTCGTGCTGATACAGTGTATGACAACTTCAACTGATGAACGTATGTGCTAGATTGCTTACGCCACTTATGAATAACTGAATGTGTTGATGAAAATCAATGAAGTTTCACGATTAAGCAACCCAACTTATAGAACCTAACATTGATGAATTCCATGTTCTCAGTCAGAATTTTCACCATCTTAGAAACATGATTACATTCTGCATCCTTAACTCATTGATTATAAAAAACTTAAAACACTTAATGATATTAAGAATTTGTATATTAAAATGACAGTCCTGGTGATGAAATATTATTGGATATAGACAATTGATTAATCAATTAATTGAGCTCTATTTCAAAAATGCTTTTGATTGATTTGTCTTATTTAGTCTATTGTTGTAGAGTTTTGCACGTCCTCAATAATGACATGAAGAAATCTATAAACAGCGATAACTGGAGTGAAGAAAACTTTAAATTATGTAAAAAGAATATTCTCTTCAATAAATTCTCTTTAGGTTCTACAGTTGTATATCCAAATTAATAATTCAGTAAGTGGTCAGCTTTCGGCAAAATTGATCGTTTAAAATTAATGTATGTGAATTTGGGATTTTTAGTAATATATAATAAAATAAAATCAACAACTTGAACGTTTCAAATCAAATGTTGTTGATTGCTGCTGTCCGTTTAAGAACAGTATATGCAAATGCAAATACATTTTAAGTAAAAAAACACACGGGGGGAGCTATTAATGAACTTATTAATAACAAAAAATTGATTATTACGAAACCTGAAAAAGGAACAGGAGTTGTCCTACCAAACAAAAAAGACTACATTGACAAGATGAATAAAATCTTGATTGATAATCTAAAATTCCAAGAGAAAATATCAATAATATGATAGAGAATGAACTTACAAGATTTTTAAAAACGTTTAGTGATCAACAGGTAGTCCCTTCAAACTTATATGAAACAATTAAGCCGATAGGTTCCCATTTACCAAGGCTATACGGACTACAGAAGTTGCTCAGACCGGATATCCCATTGAGAGCGATTTTGGACCACAAACATCAAGTGAAGCATAGTGTTAAGGATGTAATCCAGTCCATTATCAAGGTCAGAAACATAAACACTAAAGAACAAACGATTATCTCCTCAAACGTAACATCATTGCTTACATTGTTTACGTCCCACTCAAGGATATTGTCAAAAATATACGTGAACAACTTAAAGAATAAGAAATGAAGACTACAATCCATGTGGACATCATTAAGAATTTATTACTAAAATATGCTATAAACGTAAACTTCAGTTCAGTGGTGAAATATATGGACAAATAGATGGTGTCGCTACGCGTTCACCACTAGCCCCCATATTGGCTGTCATTTTCCTCACTAAACTGGAAAACGGTCCACTGGTACAGCATATTAACGAGTTTCTATCCTTTTTAACGACCATACTGGCCAGATAGAGACACTCAAGCGATTTAATGAAGTTCATCCGTCTAATAAATCTACCTGTGAGGAAGTAAGTGGAAGTAGAATAGCCTTTCTTCATGTCGTACTTACAAGGGAAATAGATGGGTCACTAAGAAGAAGCTTAAACAAGAAAACATTTTGGGCTGGCAGGTATACAACTTTCCTTAGCTTTATTCTCTAACAATATAAAAGGAACCTAATTAAGACACTTCATTACAGAGTCCAGACCATTTGCTCCTTAGATACGATTGGAGAAGAAATGAAGACACTGCGTACCCTAAAAGGAAATGGATATCCGGAGAAATTTATAAATGAACATTTAGCTATGAAAAAAGAGCATAAGGGAGGCCTGTCAACAAGACGCTGTAATTTAGAGGCGATGCATCCAGATAAATGCTAATACTGAAGTTGCATAAATCAATCAAAAGAATCCTTAATGCTGGTAAACTACAATTAATGTTTTCCCCACATCCAATGATCACTCCGAGATTGAAAGATAAATCACCTAGACTAGCCTCCTGCTTCTGTGTTTGTCAATTCAACTGCTCATGTGGAACAATTTATGTTAGCAAGTGATCCAGGAATCAGTATTTTCAGTCTCGCGAGCACCTCCAAGTTTGGTTAAGCAAAGGTATAGTTAAAACTATTAACAACTCGATTCTAGCTCGTTTAGTACGAGCGGGAGCACTCATTAACAATAATGTATCGTGTTGATAGCAATCTGCCTAAATCCATTAAACTATGAATCCTTCAGACGCCTGAAGCAATAGCTATTGGGATCAAAAAGGAGGAAGAAATATGTTCAACCGCTTCCTTTATCTTGGCTAACTCCTAACCTAATCAGTTAATGATCATTTGACGATATGGTGGTATAATTTGATTAATGTTCATACAACCCTCCTCTCTGTATTTTCATAGTTTAAACTTAATTCCACATATTATTATTGTCATTATTGGTATTGGCATTATTATTGTCAAAACACTTGCATACCCTTCGAAAAATTTATTCAGCATCCACCACTACTTACTAATTTGTACCTAATTGATATTATTCTACATATAACTTGATTTCTGATTTGCAACTACATTATTATCTATCTCATCCCACGTTAACCATATTTTTCTGATCATTATTTATCTCACAATTTCATTTAACGCATAAACTTTTATCAAGTTAACTCTTCATATTAGTTATTCCAACATTATCGAATTTCAGTGTAGGGTTGTGGAGTTTGTTGAGTTTTAATTGAGGTCATGAACCGATCAATGTTAGACCACCACTGAAAACCTGGGATCACTGGACCGCCGTTTCGTCCTAGTATGAGACTCCTCGGCAGTGCTCACCCACCAGTGGTCTAGAGGTTAAGTGTTCGTGTGCGAAACCGAAGGTCCTGGGTTCGAATTCCGCGTGCGGGGTCGTGGACGTGTGCTGCTGAAGTGTCCCATACTAGGACGAAATGGCCGTCCAGTGCTTGCAGGTTTTCAATGGTGGTCTAACATTGGTCGGTTCATGATCTCAATTAACGATTTTATTTTACAGTCTTAAATTCACATACTATAATTTTTAAACGATGCATTTGACCTTAAACCTGACCATTTTTAGGATTATTAACTTGGATATATAATTGTAGAGCCTGAAGAGGATTTATTGAAAAGAATATTATTCGTTCATATATCTGTATGTGAACTATGTTTCGAAAGAAATATAGCCGTCTTCTACATTTTCATCTACAATTATCATTGAAAATTTATTTTATTACAACTTTTTACTCCTTAATATTCTTTCTCCTGCTTTCCTTGTTCATAAAATACCTATATTGTGTATTATTGTAATGTCTTTAAACAAAACTGATATGCTTGTGTGGAAAATTGTAACTGAGTAGTGATTATTACTGCTGATACGGCTATTTGCTAAAATCGCAAAATACTTTTATCGGCTACTCATTGCAACAGGCCGAGACTACTACGTTGGCGCAAGAAAAAAACAACGTGACTGTAGAAGCAGACTGATTTACTTACCAACAACTACTAACTAAACAACATCTGCAGTAATACTAATGATAACAATAATAATAGTAATGAATTACACACCACTTTAAATGTTTAGGTTAATTAATAAATGGAATAGAACTAGTCGTTAATCAGTAATCTAAGGTATATAGAGTTTGCAAAATCATTAAGTTCACCGACTTGACTGAGAAACATAATTCATATACTTTGTTTGTTCTCATATTCTGCTTTATTACTTACGCCTGTTACCCCTCGTGGTGGAGTAGACTGCCCACCGACATTCTCCACTAAACTCTTTCCTGGGCAGCATCATTGATGAATAAGGAGGGTCTGATGCAAACATAGAGGCTTTGCTTTGTTACAACTGATTCGTATTCATCCATTAACCACATTCCATTTGTTAACCTACTCACAAATTTTTCATTTTACTGACTGTATCCCGGACTTATTACTGTCATCTTCAGATCATTCTCGCTCTTAATAGTTTATGGTGTTGACGCACATACTTCTAGCGTTATTGTTTCGTTTGAATTTCATACTTCCTTACTTTTAGTAACTGGTCATTTTATTTGTCTCTAAATTAAGGTTTTTGGTCATAGATGTGTTCGAAGCATTGCTTGTGTTTTGGGGAACGACTGAGTGACGTTGATGTTAGCCATGGAGTACTTGACAAAGATGATAGATTGATTGATATTGTTGTAAATCTTCATTGACTGAAGTTGCGTATGCCTAAACACAACCCACCCGAACGAGCTATGCTTCATCGTTCAAAAGTAAGTTGGAATGATGCTAAACGAAAATGGGGCATCAGTGCATGAAGTCACAAACTATTAGAATCAGCCATGTTGGTCGATGCAGACTACTTGGTTGGGGTCCGCATTATAATCTTGATCAATTATTGGAGTTGCTAACCAAAATCGTTCATAAATACGTCGGCGCACTCACTCTTTATCGTCCTCTCGACTTTTAATCTCAGTATCCCGTCACATATACCTTTCGACTCTGTCTTTCTATGCCATATTCTCAAGGTTTAATGTTTCTTTTTATAGTTGCTGCTGCATTATCAATCTCTTTCATTATTTTCGTATCATTGTACTAATCTGATGTGGCGACTTGAATCAACTCACATATGTGCCAGTCTCTATGTTGATGCTATATCTGTTTGTGTATCTAAGTGTTACTCGAAATTAAACCCAGCATTATTTTGCCTTTTAAATTCAACTTCATTCATGATAAAATGGCGTTATATTTGTAATATTTCAACGAGTTGAAAACTGAATTTCTTACGTTTCGGGACTCAGTTTAAATCGCTTCTTCAGAGAATAAATTGAAAACCGAACTAAATTACAAGTTTAAATGGTGCAGATAAACAAATCAAGAGATTTTTAATGCAATCAAAACAACTGTAATCATGATAATGTCTTGTAATTAATGTTAAAGATGAGGAATAATAGTAATGTTACGACTAAATAACCTGATGTCCAGACTTGTTGACATGTTAAAAATTCCTGTTACTGATCCGCAATCTGAAAGTAGGAATGCGACAAATGATAAAATCTCCACATGTGTAGCCTATAAATTCACATGATTAATTGGGTGAATTGTAAGGTTACAATGCACCATAAATAAAAAGTCGCATTATGTACTAAACTAATGGGCTCGGGGCACAAAATTAAAATGCTAGGCCTATAATTAGTGTACAATAGTTTGAGAACAGAAAAAGATTTGAAATCAGTAAACCAAATGGGAAGTTGTAATTCTGGGAGTTTGAAAACCCATTAGACTCAATATTAGTAAATTGCATGTTACAAAATATGAATACTAATGTATCCCAAAACAATTCACAAAGCTTATCACTCTGATTTATCCACCTCAACCTAACAACCTGATTGTATTGTCTGTGTATATTTCTTATCTTTTCCTATCTAATTTAGGTTCCTATTGAACCGACTTCCGAGGAGAAATCACGTATGTATCCTCCATATGAATGGTCAGCTAAAAAAGGATTAATTATAAAGCCAAATTTGGATCGAGATTCTTATTTAATTCGTCGATCTGATACACCTGGATTGTATTGGCGTGTTCATCTAGCGAAATCTTCCAAAACAGAACAAGATAGTGAAACAGTTTCATAGACAGGAAATTGTTATCAAAAGAACTGGATTAGCTATATTCTTGATTGTTGATAATACAGTACTTATGTATGTATATACTACTTCTATTACTTGTTTTATTTTATGCTATATGTGGTGAAATATTGAGTTCCTAAGTAAGTCATCTAGGACTTGTAGTAATGGTGTAATGCTTTGAGTTAATACATACTGCTATAATCCTGGATAATATCATCAGTCACAAAATGGTCGAAACTTATATTTAATACATAATTACAGAGCTGAACTATGTAATTATTTAATTTGTCGCAACGTTTGGTCGAAAATGGAACGATTATGAAAACTTGTCATTTGAGTGGATGTGTATCAACTGGTGGTAGATTTTCTCGGTCTACATCGCTAAACTGTAGTGATAGGAACACCTTTAAAGAATATTTATCCGTTACTGTTCAACAGTTTATTTTCCTCTTAAAGGTTCTTATAGTCAAGAGATAGCCTACTCGTACTAAACTTATGGTTGTCAATAATATAGGCAAACACTTCTAACACCAACTGCAGCGAATAAAAATCTGCCCTCTGTATATTCAGGTAATTAACAAGAGCAGTTAAATTCGTACTTTTAAAAAGTTGATTAGGTGTACAGCTATTACGAGCTGTTTTTGATGATTTAATCAATCCTAACGTAGCGGAATAGTGACAAGGTAAATATTTACTCGTAGTGTGGCGGACGCTACTCACAAGATTGCTTGTGAGTAGTATGTAGCGGGACGTGGCGTCGAAAATGTCACAGTCATCAGACGGAGAGAAGAGTCTCAGTTAATCAAAAGCTTGGCGAAGGCAGAACAGTTGGTGACCAGACAAGATGACAGTTCGGATCTCAGAACACACTGGATGATGCAAGTGGATGATCGAAGGCCATGTATGCGTATAGTAGACTAGCTCGGTATTCACCAACCCAAATCATTTATAATACTGCATATGAGGAGTAGGAGTAGCATATAAATATTGGGATGGATAAATCGTTTGATTTTCTGCCCTTTATGTCAGTCCAGTTACGCTGAATCAAGCGAAGAAATAAACTATGGATAATGAAGACACTAAGAGTGGTATGGAGCTTAGGAAATAATGAAATGAGTACTGGACAGTTTTATGGTTAAACACAGAGAACGCTGGATGTGTGGTTGAATATATTCCTTTAATCCTTCCTGTCCTGTGCATGACCAAAGAACTAACAGCACTTGTCCGAAAAATAGGTTTTTTGCTGGAGTAGATAAACGCTTAAAATTAATTTTACAAAGTCAATGACAATTAGTGCAGTTAGCAGTCTTTGGTTTAAGCCACATTGTTTAAAGTCTTAGGAACCATAAGTGACAACTTAAAATTAGTCTCCATAGTTTAGATAAATCCTTTAATATCTTATTAATGTGTCCAAAATAGAATACTATTTACGTCCTGTATTCCGGAAGTAGTCTATTGGGTTTATCCAATTGTTGTTCATTCTTCTCATGTCTATCTCCAATTCTCAGCGTAATGTGTTCTTTGGCCTTAAGGATCCCAAGTGATGGCTTGCCTGGTGACGCAGCTGGGTGCTTTCCTCAATGTGTGTCATATCCACTTCCAGCGACTCTTTCTGATTTCTTCCTCCGCTGGGATCTGGTTTCTTCTCTCCCATAGTAGGTTGTTGCTAATAGCGTCTGACCAACGGATCCGAAGTATTTCGCGTAGACAGCTGTTAATGAACACTTGTATCTTCTGAATGATGGCTTTCGTAATTCTCCAAGTTTTGTCCCATACAGTAGAACTATCTCGACATTTGTATTGAAAACCCTGACCTTGATGTTGGTTGACAGTTGTTTTGAGTTCCAGATGTTCTTCAATTGTAAATATGCTGCTCTTACTTTGCCGATCCGTGCATTCACATCTGCATCACACTCACCATGCTCATCAATGATGCTGACCAGATATGTAAAGGTTTTTACATTTTCCAAATCTCCCTTAAGTGTGATTCGATTGGTGCGTCTAGTGTTGTATCGGAGAATCTTGCTTTTCCTTTTGTGTATGTTGTGACCTACTGCTGCTGAGGCTACTGCCACACTGGTCGTCTTCTCCTGCATTTGTTGTTGCGTGTGCGATAGAAGAGCCAGATCATCTGCGAAGTCTTGATCATCCAGCTCCATCCTAACTGTTCACTATATCTCATTCTTCTTCCCAGATGTTGACGTCTTCATGTTCCAGTCGATCACCAGGAGAAAGAGAAAGGGTGAGAGTAAGCAACCTGGCTTGACACCGGTCTTCACTTCGAACGAGTCTGTCAACTGTCCTGTGTCATACAGTTGTCTCATGTTTCCTTCTCTTACAGCCTTTTCCCTCATCATTGCTAAATCTACCACATATTTACTTTTGTCAGTTCTGATGCTTCTCTTCACTTGCTTGTTTACTTCTGTGTAGTCATATTGTGTGTTGGCTTTCTCTGCTCTTATTCGGCTGGTATCGATTGCTGCCTTCTTGTTCCTCCTTGAATCCTATCCAGTGTATCAACAGTGATCCATTCCTTGTGATGGTGCTTTTTATGGCCCGGAACATGACATGTTGAAGTGATTGCATCATTGATCCCCTTCCAGTTGTTCTTCATAGGAGTTCCCTTTCCATTGAGTAGATCGTGAAAGGTATGAGACCTATTGCTGAGGATTATTTTTGAATTCGTTGATTTTGTCAGTATCCCGAAGGAAGGCCGTATTAAACTTGTATGATGTTGTCCGCTCCGTTGTTCAGTGCTTCTTGAGTTTCAGTTTCATATTGGCGACAAGCAAGCTATATCAGCTCCTCTCTTGGTTCTCAAATCCTCCATTGTCCTCATGAACTTTTTATTGATGCAAATATAGTCGATTTTATTCTGTGTAGTGTGATCCGGTGAAATCCATGTGGCTTTGTGTATGCGTTTATTTAGGAGTATGGTGCCGCCTATGACCAGTTTATTAAAGGCACATAGATTTGCAAATCTCTCACAATTTTCGTTCCTTTCTCCTAGTCTATAATGTCCCATGATGTTTTCATATACGGTGTTGTCCATTCAGAATGCCCAGGTCCTTTACTGGGCAGTTCTCAACGATTGACTGCAGCCAATCGCAGAATTGATCCTTAACGTCTTCATTGTAGTCGTTGGTAGGCCCATAGCATTGGATGATGTTCATTGTCATGCCCTCTTTCTTTGTTTTAAAGGAGGTTTTGACGATCCTGGATTCATGAGATTCCCATCCTGTAAGTGCTTTTTGTGCTTGGTTGGATAGCATCAGTGCAACTCCTTGTGTATGTGGAGCATTCTCTTCTTCATGACCGGAGTGTAACGTCAGCTCTCCTGAAGCTAGGTTTTGTTGTCCAACCTTCTTCCAATGTGTTTTACTGATTCGAAGTACTTCCAGGTTGTATCTTTTCATTTCTACAGCAACATGGATGACTCTCCCGGTCTTCCATATTGTACGAACATTCCATGTACCTAAATCAATCGTGTCTGGTTGTCAGAATGGGTGTATCAGCCTCGTAACTTCCGAGGGAACTTCGCTTTCATCATGAAACATCATAACTCTTCCAAATGAAGACATTCTAACTCTCATTACAGAGTTTAGGCGGTTTAAATTATTTTATCTGGTTGGCGTTTTTTAGCGAGTTATTTTTCTACGGGATGGGGTCGCTAACCCCATGCACAACCCTCCTTCTTTATCCTGACTTGCGACCGGCAGTAACCCCAGAGGGGCTCCAGGCGGAGTTTTAATTGCCATACTCATCAGAAAAACCCATAAGTTTATGAAGAGGTATTGAATTTAACAACTAGTATATATGGTATATATAGGATCCAGGACGTATGTTTTGTTTTATTTGGGATTTGTCATTTGAATGTGTCTGAATTCCATTGTTTTTGTTCACACTGAGGTCCAGAACGTAATTCCTATCAATTAAGCATGGATACATTATCGACCAAGTTACTGAATCCGTATAGTCACTAACGTGTTCAGCTTGGCCTCTATATATCCAACTTTTCATCCCAAAACTAATACATGATCATTTACTAAACTTCTTGGAAGACTTATTGGAACTGTATCCACAACTAAAAACATCCAGAATTAGTGCGTAATAATTCACTATTGTGTCAGTGATTTAGAATCATATTGTCACTTTTTGTAGACTTCAAGTAACATCAATATAATCCAACCATTCTCGTAGCATCAGTTTAAAGTATCAGTTGTAGATTTGTAGATCAAATCCTTGTTAACATTTTTCGGACTATTTTCCCTAAGTGTGACTTTGATCTTTAAAAAAGCTTATATTAGTCTTACAAATAAAGAAATCCGCTAACATTAAACTTTATCCGGTATTATGCAATAACAATAGATTCCTTTTGATGTAATTTCAGTGGTCGAAATCATTTAATGAGTGATCATAACAAACCTAGTCTTAGCATTCAAATTAAATTCGAGAAAACATTTCTGTTTATATTGACCTAATGCCATACTTTAGTATTGGCTAAGTTTACATAGATATTTCATTTAGTTTTCAATGGAATGTATTCATAAGTTTGCCTAACCAGAAATCAATTCATCTGTTATTGGACTTAAATTATTGAGAACGAAGAGTTTATTATTTAGTATTTTATCTCAATATATTTATCTACTTATTAGTAGTTAGATCAGTCGAACAAAATTTACACAGAAGTGAAAGTTGAATTTCATAAGAAAATAATTATTTGTAGTATACTATTAATTTTAATGTTTTCTTCCTTTACAAAAAATTCACAGGAATGGAAATCAAGGTTATAATGATAGATTATTTAATACTATTCATAGTTTGTACAAGTTGTTCAGTAAGTGATTTTTCCATGGATCTTAAGTGTCGAAGATCTCCATCAATTCCCTTAAAACGTATACCATATGTCTGAAATCTTGGCAAATGTACAACTTCCATTTCCCATTTTAACAAAGAAGGTATTTTATCACGGTTGTAACTATTTTTATAAAGCTTACCATGATTGA